CTGCTTTCCCAGCCCAAACCTCAGCCAGATCCGTGTCTCTCCTGCTGCTTTCCCAGCCCAAACCACAGCCAGATCTGGGTCTCTCCTGCTGCTTTCCCAGCCCAAACCACAGCCAGATCTGGGTCTCTTGTTCTTCTTCCGAGCCATGTTCCCAGCCCAAACCTCAGCCAGATCCGTGTCTCTCCTGCTGCTTTCCCAGCCCAAACCACAGCCAGATCTGGGTCTCTCCTGCTGCTTTCCCAGCCCAAACCACAGCCAGATCTGGGTCTCTCCTGCTGCTTTCCCAGCCCAAACCATGGCCAGATCTGGGTCTCTCTTGCTGCTTTCCCAGCAGCACAATGGCACAGACCGTGGCCCCTCGGTCCTGCTGTAAATACCACCACAAAATGAGGGTTCGGGCAGTTTTGGCAGTTGTCATTTGCCAGGGGAATCAGTTCCGGGCTGTGCTTTGTTTCAGAAAATCACCACCAAGAATGCCTTTGGCTTACACCTGATAGACTACATGACGGAGATCCTGAAACAGAAGGACTCCGAACTGACCAACTTCAAGGTGAGAGGACTTGCTGCCTGGTCACAGTGGTAGCTGAAGGTTTAGTCAGTAGCAAACCTCAGATAATGCTGCAGGTAACTGAGCTGGTTACTTCCACTGAAAATATCCAGCACAGGCAGCACAGTCACTTCTCGCAGGAGCTTACAGTCTCGAATCCTTTGGTACCACAGCAATTAAAGGCTGAATTCTTTCAGTTGTGGTCCTTCAAAAGGAGAGCTTGTTTAAAAGTGAGACTCGTGAGGCTTCTGAGGTAAATACTGGGTGTTACCACCAGTAACAAAACAAGGCTGGAAAAGAAAGGAGGTTAGTGTGGCTAACCCTGGACTAATTTTGGTCTTGGATGGGTCAGAAGAAGAGCTTGCCAGGGCAAAGACTTACTTGCTGTAATAGTTCACTGATGCTAGGAGGGAGAACTGAATTCTTGGATGAATGACCAAAAGAACGTGGCCTCAAGGAACCCCTGAGCTAGCTGTCTTATGGTTGATGAAACTGTGGAAGGGACAGGAAATGGTGCACAGGTTTTCGGTGGGTAGACCTTCACCTGCCTGGGAAGGTCTGGGATCAAAAAGGCCACTTGGCATCTCCTATGCTTTACCTCTTTTGAATTCGGAATTTGGGAAAACAGAATGATACCAAGGGGATGACCCAAAAGAACTCATGAAGGAGAGGTGGAGAGAGGTCTCTTGGAAATGCAAATCTGCACCTTCTGCTTCTCCCCATTGCTTAATCTTGAAAACCTTTTAAGTATTAGTCAGTGTGATCCCTTCCAAAAGAACTGATAGAGCAAACTGTAGACGCTGCCAGGGAAGAGACATCCTGACCCCTGCTGCACACCTAGGTCTCTGGTAGGTTTCAGGATAAATCCTCTTCCAGTGGTTCACAATTTTGCTTGTTATACAGAACATTCAGAAATTCAGTTCTGCAGCTCTTCTGCGTTTGCATCTTCTAGAGGAGACTTTTTTCTTTCTAACTAAAAAATTGCATCTTTTCTTCCTCCTATCAGATCGCAGCTGGCACGCTTGATGCCAGCGCGAAGATTTACGCCGTGCGCGTGGATGCGGTCCATGCAGATACCTACAAAGTTCTGGGAGGCTTGGGCAAGGACTCGGCACCCACGCAAACCGTGGAGAGCCCAGAAGGAGGTGTGCCATTCCCTCGTTTTCTGTTAAGCTGTTTCTGTTCCTCCTGCATGTAAGAGAAACGTCAGCACCCATGGATTTCAAAGCGCTTTGTACATCCCGGAGAGTCCTGCTAACTTAGGGCTGGGAAATCCCAATTTAGTTTGCCTGGGTGCTTGAGCTGGGAGGGCTGAGATGAGAACCTGAATCTGTTGCTCAATCTTATATTCAGCGATTCAGCCCGTCAGATTTGAATGAAAATCAAAGATGGTCTACTCTGAAACATTACCAATGAAGTGCCTTGCTCTTTGCTTTGAAACAAAAACGTGCTGTTCAGATAAAATAAGAGTTGATAAAAAGAAATACAACATCCAGCCAGTGAAACGTTGGTGCTCTGTGCTAACAGATACCTAATCGAGTAACCTCGTGCCCACTGGGGTTTTGTGTTTGTCGTACAGACTGAAGGAGAAGTTTTGCTGCCCCTCCTTAGGGGATTTCAGCAAGTTTCCTAAATGTGACTTGTTCTTCTTTTCCTTTTAGATGCCAGTCCGGTTCCTGAGGCTGTCAAGAGAGCTCAGACAAAGAAAAAGCACTTGTGCAAAACCATCGAGCAGAACCTGAATAACATCAACGTGTCGGAGGCTAATCGCAGATGTGAGGTGGGTGGAGGGGGGCTGCTGCAGCAGCTGCGTTCTGGAGGAGGAAAGGAAACGTTGCCTCATCTTCCTCATTTCTATTGTTTTTCCCATTGTGCATTCCTCTCTTGGGCTCTAACACTCACATGCACGTCTGTGAATTCTGCTATTACAGCAGGATTGTTCCTAGTGACGTGTATTCCTCCTGCGTGGGGCAGCTGTGAGAGGCCTCTCCTTGCTGGAAAAGATGTGTGGGTCATTAGGTCGAGAGAGGTGATTCTTCCCCTCTACTCTGCCCTCGTGAGACTTCACTTGGAGTATTGCGTCCAGTTCTGGAGCCCCCAACATAAGAAGGACATGGACCAGTTGGAGAGGGTCCAGAGGAGGGCCACGAAGATGATAAGAGGGCTGGAGCACCTTTCCTATGAGGACAGGCTGAAAGAGTTGGGGCTGTTCAGCCTGGAGAAGAGGAGGCTCCGGGGTGACCTTATAGCGGTCTTCCAGTACCTCAAGGGGGCCTACAGGAAAGATGGGGAGAGGCTGTTCAGGAGGGCCTGTTGTGATAGGACAAGGGGTAATGGTTTTAAAATAGAGGGAGGTAGATTCAGGTTGGATATTAGGAAAAAAATTTTTACCATGAGAGTTGTAGAACACTGGCACAGGTTGCCCAGAGAGGTGGTGGATGCTCCATCCCTGGAGACGTTCAAGGCCAGGTTGGATGAGGCCCTGAGCAACCTGATCTAGTTGGAGATATCCCTGTTCCTTGCAGGGGGGTTGGACTAGATGACCTTTGAAGGTCCCTTCCAGCCCTAACCATTCTATGATTCTATGATTCTCCCTTCAGATCTGTACTTCGAAGCCTCCTGCAGAGACCTGCTTCACCCCTTCCATCCACTCCATTCCTTGATTCTCTGCTTCATTCCGTACCTGTAGGTTGATCCCATGTTCCAGAAAACAGCCGCGTCTTTTGATGAATGCAGCACGTGTGGCATTTTCCTCATCGGGCTCCGTACCCAAAGCTGCCAGAGCGAGCTCCTGTTTGACTCGAAGATCGTGCCTCTCCCTTCTTCAGACACCCTCACGCTGCCCAGCTCTGATCCTCTGAAAGTGACGGATTTAAAGCGTGAGTGCTGGTAACCGCTAAGCAAAAGGGCCCATCCAGACCTTGCGACCCTTTTCGTCTCCCAGGGGTGCTCATTTTAGTCTCAGCCAGCTCCACTTGTGCTTTTGCTCGCTGCTTGGCTAGCCTGTGGCACCATTCCTCTCATCCTGATCGAGTTGCTGGAAAAACGGGACCTTTGTAGGTTTTAGATGACTGTGTGTAGCTTAACCTCTGGCAGATCTGTCACACGGCACGTGTACGTGGTCTGAGCTGCGCAGCAGTTGCGATCAGCGTTAAGGACTGACCTTCTCAGAGCATTTTGAGCCTGTAGGTACTACCAAACCCCACGGCTCTGATAAGATTCCGAGCGTCATGCCCACCCTCGAGTTAGGGCAGTGACTGAACTCTCCCTTTCTGCTGAGAAACGAGCCTGACTGCTTTTGCAGTGAGCACTGCGCTGCCCTACGTGCGAGAAAGCCTGCCTGTGGATGAGGTTTTAAAAGTGGTCGAATGCCTGGCACTTGTTTTAGCTGCTGGTTGCTTCATCCTGTATCTAATGCAGATCATATCCTCTGCTATGGAAACAGGCTGAGAGAGTTGGGGCTGTTCAGCCTGGAGAAGAGAAGGCTCCGGGGTGATCTTATTGCAGCCCTCCAGTGCCTAAAGGGGCTACAGGAAAGCTGGAGAGGGGCTTTGGACAAGGGCGTGGAGTGACAGGACACGGGGCGATGGCTTTAAACTGGAAGAGGGGAGATTTAGATTGGATCTAAGGAAGAAATTTTTCACTCAGAGGGTGGTGAGGCACTGGCACAGGTTGCCCAGAGAAGCTGTGGCTGCCCCATCCCTGGAAGTGTTCCAGGCCAGGTTGGATGGGGCTTTGGGCAACCTGGTGTAGTGGAGGGTGTCCCTGCCCACGGCAGGGGGGTTGGAACTGGATGATCTTTGAGGTCCCTTCCAACCCAAACCAGTCTGTGATTCTAATCTCTCCCCCTTGCTCTCCTTGTCTCTAGCCCTGCTGTTGCAGTGCATTGAAAAACGCCCCATCTGCTCTTCGCTGGCCGGTTTCCAGTTTACGAAGTGGGATGCTGAATCCCACGACGAGGTATGTTGGTCACCTCTTTGCCAGGTGGGATGCTTGAGCTGTGTTCTGTGCTCACCTCCAGAGCCATCTCCGAGACACGCAGGGCAGCGGGCTGTTGTGCCACAGGGCTGCTGATATCCTGTGATTTTTTTCCTGAGCACTTTCTTCTCCCGCAGTCGGTGTCAGCCCTGTTGGATAAATTTAAGAAGAGCGACCAAGTGTTCGATATCAATGCGGAGCTTGACAGTGATGCGGAGGACGCTGTTCCCACCCCGCTGGATGACTTCAGTTCCGACTCCCCCCGGAGCGGAGCAGCAGACAAGCTTGGGGAATTCACAGACAACCTCAACTCCTTTGGAACGGTCCACCAGAGCAAGAGGTAAGCAGTCACTGAAAATCTGGAGCTGTGCTTTGATGGCAACTGCAGCTTCTGGCAGCTCTCTGGGGAACCTTTCACGTGCTGTGTACGTGTTTCCCACCTGGCTATGGCTTGCTTTCTTCCCAAATTTCAGGTACATCTAGGAATGCGTTACCCTCATATCTCTGCCCTCCAAGAGGACTTTTTTCCGAAGGGTCACATCTCCCCAGAGTGATTGCTCATCTGCTCACTCTCCTCCCCAGTTTCCAGCTGCCCTTAGGCAAATCCACCTCTGTTTTTGCAGCAGCCTCATGGACTCCAAACAGTGCCAGACCCCCAGTACCGTTCACTGATTAATTAATATTGTTAATAATTAATCACTGATTAATTAATATTATTAATAATTAACTTAATAGCACAGATCAGCACTGTACAGAGCTGATCTGGACGTTAAACGCACGCTCAGCCCCAGTGTGTGCCAAAGACATTTCACTGAGCAGCGTGTGTTCTCTTTCCAGAACTGATGTGGTTCCTTTTGGAGAGGGAGACATCGGGACCATGTGCCTCCATCTCTCCATGAATCCAGGGGAATACTCCTACTTCAGTCCCCGGACTCTGTCAATGTGGGCCGGCCCTGAGCACTGGCGCTTCAAACCTCGACACAAAAGTAGGTGTTTAGAGACGGCAGCTCTAAAGGTCCTGCTTACCTTTGGAGATGGGTGGCGTTTGAGTCACGGAGCAGGGACAGTAAAGAAGGCGAGAAGCCTTCTTGAGGGAGTCCAGCACAGGGCCACGACGATGATGAAGGGAGTGGAGCATCTCCCTGATGAGGAAAGGCTGAGGGAGCTGGGTCTCTTTAGCTTGGAGAAGAGGAGACTGAGGGGGGACCTCATTCATGTTTATAAATATGGAAAGGGTGACTGTCATGAGGATGGAGCCAGGCTCTTCTCAGTGGCATCCAATGATAGGACAAGGGGAAATGGATACAAGCTGGAACATAGGAGGTTCCACTTAAACATGAGGAAGAACTTCTTCCCAGTAAGGGGAACAGAGCACTGGGGCAGGCTGCCCAGAGAGGCTGTGGAGTCTCCTTCTCTGGAGATGTTCCAAACCTGCCTGGACGCATTCTGGTGGGATCTGATCTAGATGGTCCTGCTCCAGCAGGGGGATTGGACTAGATGATCCTTTGGAGTCCCTTCCAGTCCCTGACATCCTGGGATTCTGTGAAGCCTGCACGGCTCTTTTCTAGCCAGATGGGAAGCGGTACTGAGTTCAGACACCAGGAAGGCTCTCAGTCACACGCAGATCCTTTGGTGTCTAATGTATTCCCTATTGTTTGGGTTTCCTAATGATGCTCAAAGTTGAGGAGGTGTCTCTCACTGCAGCAATAAGAGGTACTAGTGCTGATACAGCTCTTTTTTCCCCACCTTCTGCAGAAAAACTGCAGATTAAATTACGTTTCCTGCTTCTATAAGAAGTTACTCATCCCTTTAAAACATGAAGCTGAGAGCAACACCTATTGCTTTCTTGTAACGAAGGGAAAACTCCTTGTAGGTGACCTTTCTGTGTGGAGCAGATGCTCAAGTTAGGAGTGAGCTTGTTGTCCTCACTCCGTCACGGAGCACTGACAGTTTCCTTCCTTCCTGCAGCAGATGCTGACTCTGAAAAAGAGGCCAAGAAAAGGAGTGCAAAGAAAGCGTTTGAAGTGAACTTTGATGAGGACATCGACTTTCAGACGTATTTCCGTAAGACCAAAGTACGTGCCGAGTTCCTGCTCTCTCTTTTGCCACATCAGTGTGGCTTGGGACCCCTGTCTGCAAACGGCTCATCTCGTGCTCCTGCGAAACTGGCTCTGTAAACCCAACATCGTGTCCGTTCTTTAGTGCGGGGTCTTCTGCCTCCAGGTCACTTACAAGTAGAGAGTTCTAGCAACCTTGGGGTGGAGAAGCAGGCTGGATTCCTCCTGGCCTATACCCTGTCAGTCAAAGAGACCCTGCAGGTCCCATTGTGTGTCCCAGGATGCCGCTGGGTCACCGACTGGACCAGCATGGAACGCCTCTTTGGAGGCATCTCTGAACTTGCCCCTGTTTCAGACAAAGACCTGTGCTCAGAGGACTTATTTGTGCATTAATCTTCCGAGTAGTGGACAGCTCACAGCTAATGGTATTTATTACCTTCCCAGGCGTCTGTAACTCTGGCCAAATCCATACTGGAAAGCCAGAACATGAAGAGCACCACGCTTCCCGCAGACTTCAACTATGACCCTAACAACATTCTCCAGCTGTTCCTCAAACCGGCTGTTAAGGTAAGAGTCTTCTCGAAAAGCCTCTTGGCAATTATTCCGTGCACAAACCCACTCTTCACCAAATGCTCGAAGCACTCTGGGATGCTCCTCAGGGCTGGAGTCGGGCCAGTGTGTCTCTCGCTGAACTGGCCCGCTTGCGGATGCTGAAGCAGCTGTTGTGCTTCACAAGGGGCTTGCTAGAGAGCTGGTATGTGAGGAGGAGGAGGAGGAAGAGCCAGCAGGCTGGGAAAAGGGGAGGTGATGAAGGAGCAAGGCACAGGCATTGCCTGGGGGGAAGCATTTGGGAGTTTTTCCTTTCCTGACTCCTGGCCTTGTCCCTGTAGCTCTGCAGAATGCCCGAGCCGAACAGGTCGTTGGATCACGCGGATGAGATCGGCGAGTACGACTACAACAACCCCAGCGACACCTCCAATTTCTGCCCTGCCCTGCAGGTGACTCCAACAAGAGGATTCCTTCCTCTTGCCTGTGTTTGATATGTGAGGGGAATAATTTAGGAAGAATCTGTCTCCAGAATTAGTTTGCTAGTGAAAAGGGGTCAGAGCTGCAGATTGTGACAAAGCTGCAGGAGTCTGTGCCCTGTCCCCTCGCTCCAACGGCATCACCTAACCTCTGCCGTCGGTGTTTGCTAGTCAGTTTGCTGCAGAAACTCCATCCCAGCCTTTTCCGTGCGTCACGCTGGGGTAGATGCCGTTGCTCACCTCCGCAGTCATCTCTGCACAGTGAGGTTTGCTCCCAGCTGCTCTGAGCTCCCGTTGGAGCAGATTTAAGGACCTCATGAATGTTCATAAATATGGAAAGGGTGACTGCCATGAGGATGGAGCCAGGCTCTTCTCACTGGCATCCAATGACAGGGCAAGGGGAAATGGATACAAGCTGGAACACAGGAGGTTCTGCTTAAACATGAGGAAGAACTTCTTCCCAGTAAGGGGAGCAGAACACTGGAACAGGCTGCCCAGAGAGGTTGTGGAGTCTCCTTCTCTGGAGATGTTCCAAACCCGCCTGGACGCGTTCTGGTGGGATCTGATCTAGGTGGTCCTGCTCAGGCAGAGGGATTGGACTAGATGATCCTTTGGAGTCCCTTCCAGTCCCTGACATCCTGGGATTCTGTGATTCTGTGTGAAGCAGATTTCTTCTGAATCTTCAGCCTCTGCCAGGCCGAGGCTGCCTCCTGAGTGTGTTTGCGACACATCTCGGCTGGTCCCACGCTGGCCCTCGTCTCTCTTTCCATCTAGAACAGTCTTTTGATATTCTACACTCTCCATCTCCCTTGGGTTTAGCCTTAGCCCAGCCTAAGTGCCATGGGGAGAGGCTGAATCAGAAGGTGTTCCATGGGGAAGGTGGGCAGGTATCAGCACGCTCCTGGGAGGCGGGTGCTCTTGCTGTCTCAGTGCAGGACATCTCTGGCTCCTCAGAGATGTCTGCGAGTGGCCTCACTGGAGTGTCTCTTCTCGATCAGGCTGCGGACAGCGATGATGACGACAACGGCCCCGTTCAATTCACGGGCCAGACAGGGGACTTCAACCTTACTGCCCACCATGACGCTGAGCTCAACAGGACTGTCGGCGATGCCAATGTCACAACGTATGGAGAGCTGAACCTCATTGCTGAGCCCCAGAGGGTGAGGACTGGGATTGTGAACTAGAGCAAAGCCTCTCGCCACCTGGCGGGGCTAGAAGTCCTGAGACAGCACGTTCCCTGGTGCAGGATCTCCTGGGTTTGCCACTAGACGCTTTATTCCCAAATGAACCCTTGCATAAGAGAAGAGAATTAAAATCCAAAAGTTTAGTAGTGAGAAAGCATTCCCCGTTGTTCTCAAGGAGGACCATGTTTTGATTGTTCCTGTGCTCCCCATCGGGGATAACGCTGCTGCTTCTGCTCAGTTGCTCTCAACTAACCCTGGGCTTCTTTTCCTCAGGTCAATAAGATAGCAATTCAATATGCGAAGACAGCCAAGAAAATGGACATGAGGAGGTTGAAGAAAAACATGTGGGACCTCTTGACTGATGGACAGGAGAAGGAAACAGTGGCAGAGGTGAGTGAGGGGGAGCCAGATACCTTAAGAGAACGCCCTGCAGGTAACTGCACTTAGCTCCTGCAGAGACAGCCTTGGGCAGGTTCTGCAGCAATCCCTTTCCAGTAGTCTTGCTCCCATGGGATGGTTGGTAAGGGCAGACTGAGTGTGACTTGCAGTGGTTGTAGATTCCCCATCCCTGGAAGTGTTCAAGGCCAGGTTGGATGAGGCTTTGAGCAACCTGGTGTAGCGGAAGGTGTCCCTGCCCATGGGTTGGAACTGGATGATCTTTAAGGTTCCTTCCAACCCAAACCATTCCATGATTATCTGAACGCAAGGCTGGATACTGGGGAGCAAAGTCTGTCTCAGCAGTGTCTGTCTTTTTGCTAACTAGGCGGAAGATGCAGAGAAGGGGAAGAACACATCAGTGGTAGCGGGCGAGAAGGTCTTCAGCGGCATCACGAAGGAACTGCTTTACAGGTAGAGAGGCCCTAAAAAAGGTTGGACTGAAGATGGGGGACAGACTTCAGCTGAGCTCGGGCAAACGCTGACCCCTCTGTGTCTATTCCAACCTGCTAACTGAGCCCTGAGGGGCAAAAAAAAGCTCTCCTCTTGCTCTCTGGGTTTGCCTGGAGGAGCTGTGAGTCGCATTCAGCTTGGCAAATCCTTTGCTAGTGGGAGGGGAAAGATAGAGAAAACCCAGATCCCTGGGGAGAAGCTGATCTTTGGTGACCTGGTCCTTGCAGGCAGGGTCCATCCGTCGGGATTCAGTAGGCTCTGGCCATCCTGACCTCCTCCTTTCCTCTTTTGTAGGCTGCCTTCTGTGATGGCGAGTAATCTGTCTGTCCCCTTAGCCTTCGCCTGCCTCTTGCATTTGGCAAACGAGAAGGTAAGAGGGAGACCTTCAGACTGGAGAGGAGAAGAGCCTGGCTCTGTCGAACTTCACTTTTCTTTTATATTCCCAGAATCTGAAGCTGGAGGGCACAGAGGACCTGTCTGATGTCGTGGTGAAACAAGACAACTGAGCCCCGTGCAGAGCAGGCAGCCGGGGCCGGCCCACGGGACAGAGCGCAGCTTCCCGGCGGAGCACCGCTCGCTCTGGACTAGCTCGTCAGTGGCAGATTCTTCTCGTCCCAGCACTGTTGACTCAGAAATCCCACTGGTCTCTGCACCTCAGGAAGACTTTTCAATCAAGGATGTCCTACCTGAGCATAGGACCTGTATAGATGGACAGTTGCAGCTCAGCCTGCCTGGCTCCTGCCATCTTCGATCCATCAGCTCTTCCCTGGATCTGGGTAGCGGAGTTCCTCCATCTCACTGTGAACCACCAGTGCCTCCTAGAAAAAGGCTCCTCTGTGTGTCACTTGGTGTCCATCTGTAATTCCCAGTACATGGACTGACTGTTACTCATGTCTCCAGTTCCTCCTGTTGGTCCTCTTCATCCCCTGAAATAATTTACCTTTTATAATGAGCTTAAAGATAATAAATTGCTACAGACTTTTTAGACGGGCCTTTAAGATGGGGAAGAAGGAGTCTCCTAAACAGGAGAGAGGTTCAAATGACACGAGTGTTGGGGAGCAGCAAGAGTGGAGCTGCTCCCTGAAAAAGAGGCCAGCCAGGAGACAGGGGGGATCGCATGGCTGGAGCATCACCAGCCAGGACCCGGTCCTCCAGGACTTGAACAATGGAAGCAGGACCAACCTGGAGATGGTGGCCAGGTTCAACCAAGAGTTGAGCTCACCAGGCAAGTTGATGGTGCTGAGGCAGGTCC